GATTCTGAACTCTAGATCTGACATCGTACTAATGTCCGTATTGTGCTTCTCGGCTTTCTTATTGTGTATTCAAAAGCCACTTTCTCAGATCTAGGGTTAGAGTTAGGGTAGAGTCAGGATTAGTGTTAGTGTTAGGTTTAGGGGTTGTAGGTTACTGGTTAGTGGTTAAGATTAGGGTTAGGATTAGGGTTAGTGTTAGGTTATGTGTCTGGTGTCCTGCCGTTCAGAGACCTCTCCAGAGAGTTAGTGTTAGGGTTAATGTTAGGGTGAATGTTAGTATCAGGGTTAGAGGGGACTGGTTATTGGTTAGTAGTTAGGGCTTTGGATATGTGCCTGGTATCCTGAAATTCGATGAATTCTCCAGACACTAAATCCCTAGATTTTTGCTGGTGTGAGATTAGACATGGCATCCATCTCTGGAGCTGAGGCAAGGAGGGAATTTGGGGCTCTAAATCCTCTTTAAATGGATATTCAGTTGGTCCTTCTATTTTCTCTCTACCTGCACACCCATTTTCACATATAATACTAATTCTTACATGTTTGGTTCTTCTCCTGGATAATCAGGCTCCTTTTCAGCTTTTCTTATTGGGTGTTCATCAAGCCACTATCTCAGATCTAGGTTAGTTAACTTCCATCCATCCTACTTTTCCAAGTTACATAATTCTTTTCTTCTGTTTTCTGTCTCATGTTTTTTTCTAATGGTTTATGACTTTAGAAAATTTAGTTTTTTGCCCATTCTGATGGGGTATTGCGGGAAATGAAAATCTATTAACTTTCCTGAAAATTCTTCTCTATTTTTTATGAAAAATATTTCATCTTATATACACGTATACTCAGTCCTATTTTGTGATTGAAGATATGCTTATTTGAAGACTCAGTGTTTGCCATTTGTTATCATATGTTCAGATTTTCCCATGTAATGGATGTGTGCCATGTTAACTTGAAAGCAAAACTTATCATTTGCTTGACAAAATGATGGAATGCCATCCAGAGAGTCCTCGTGGTAACTTTGCCACCCTCCTTCTTCCCACTTGAGTAGTATTTGTATGAAGGAGCATTGGGCTCCAATCCTGACTCTTCCACTTATTAGCTCTATGAACTTAGGAAACTTTATTATCCTGGGCTTCTGTTTCTTCATTTGTAAAATTGGGACTTATAGTACTTTTGTATGTTTATGTGAAATCACCAAATCATACTACTTGGGCTCATAGTGAATGCTCATTGAGTGTCTGTTGAATTGTCAGTCTGAAAATATTGTAACCACCTATTCTAACATTGACACTGTATAAAGAAAATCAGCTATTTTAACTTGTAGAATGTTTTATGATTTTTTTCTTAATAGGTTTAAAATTTAGCTGAAATGTTTTTTATTTATAAAAATTTCAAATAGAAATTTTTAACTAGAAATTTTAAAATTAGATAACTTAATTTTAAGCATTTTTATTTATTTATTCATTCATTTTAAGGAGCTACTAACAAGAACTTTGTAAGCTTTAGTAATTGTGCTGACATAGTATCTCTTTTATCAGGACTGATATAATTGGTCTTGAGGTAAATCAGCTTACCAGTTCAATGCAATTGTGATGAGGATTAGAAAAATTAAATTCTACCTAGTGAGTCTTCAGTTATAGTTCTATAGATATGAAAGTGGTAATATTTCTTATAAGCCAAGATTTTAATATAGTTTATATTTACTTTTTTCTTCCTGCCTTTTCTTTCCCCCAAGGGAAAATAGCTGCTTCAGATCAGAAGCTCATATTTTTCTTACTTGATTGATTGTAGTAAACTAGCAAATGATTTACCTATATCTAGGTTCATCTTACTTTACTCTGTAGTCTGTTCAGTGTAAGTGAATGTTTCTGGATTGGAAATTTTAGAATTGCCCCTCTGCTCCTTAAAATTCTTCAGTGACTTCCTTTGGTCTAAAGCTTTAGGGTGGCATTCAAGACTTTTATGATCTGGCCCTCATCTGCCTTTCAGATGTAATCATGGGCCAGTCCTTCACCCCAAGCTTTAATCAAATCTCTAACTCCTTCAAGTTTTGTGATCTCAGTATATGTCAGACTTCTACTTAAAACCTACTTATCATTTGTGTTAGGAAAACTGAAGCTCTCCTTTCCCCTGTGACAGTAATTTTTAGTTATCCCCAAATCCCCTGACTAGATGTGAGTAGCTTGAAGTAGTAGTGATTTTTATTTTTATCTTTTTTTTTTCACTAGGGATGCCTAACATTTAAAGTTTGTTGATAAGGGGTGATTGTGTATTTTTGGCAATTTATAAACATTTTGTTTTATGAAATAGAAATTGTCATAATTTTACATATTTAAAATTGGGCAGACTCCGATTCAAATAATAAATATGTTTTATAGCCTTCAGTTTGGAAACCTGCAGAATTATGATCGCCATGTTGGATGTATCCTTGAATAAAAATAGAAAATACTAGAATATAGAATAATTGCTTTCTGAATATAACCAAGCAATTGTTGGCTATAAATGGCCCCATAGTAAATTGGAGACTTTAAAAATACTTTGTAAGATCCTGTTTGAATTCCATACTTTTCCATTTTTACGCAGGAATCTATTCATATGCTGAATCTGGCTAACTTGCAGAAGCATACTAACAATTTTTTAGTCAGTGATTTACAGTTTTGAGTCAAGTAAATTTTCTTTGGTATCAAAACTTATTTTTATTAATAAAACTATCAGAGAGATTACACAGGGAAAATGGGATTTAATGAATTCAAAGAACTTTGGGCAGCTCTTAATGCCTGGAAGCAAAACTTCATAACTATTGATCAAGACCACAGTGGCACAGTGGAACATCATGAATTGAATCAAGCCATTGCTGCTATGGGTAAGAATATTAAAATTCTTTAGAATCCATCCAGATCATCTTTGTTCTTTGATGAGATGAATCTCAATTGTTAAAATTTGTTAAGGAATATATTATTTCACCAGTTGTTGCCCAATTTAATTTCAAGATTGTAGATAAATTCTGAGTGAAGACCTTTAACAAAACCATTTTATCTGTGATTTTTCCAAAAAATGATCTTTTATACGTTTTGGTTGATAAAATAATTTCTGAATTTCCTCTTTTGAGTATATTAAAATGTATTCCCCTAATTATTGGCACTCACGATTTATATTACATCTTTTGTAACTTGGTAAGATCTCTAATATTTATTTATTTAGTTATTTAGCTATTTATTTTTACCAAATTTTTTGAAATATAATTAATATGCAGTGTTATATTAGTTTCAGATGTACAACACTTCTATACATATCTATATCAGGTGTTCAGCCATTCTATATATTACTCAGTGTCCACCACAAATATATTCACCATCTGTCATCATACACTGTATATTATGACCTTATTGGCTGTATTCCCTATGCTGTATTTTTCATCCCTGTGACTTAATTTTTTTTAATTTTAATTTTTAAAAAATATTTTATTTATTTGAGAGAGAGACACAGAGAGAGAGAGCATGAGCAGGGTGGGGAGCACCAGATGGAGAGGGAGAAGCAGGCTCCCCACTGAGCACAGAGCCTGAGATGGGACTTGATCCCAGGACCCTGGGATCATGACCCAAGCTGAAGGCAGATGCTTAACCAACTGAGCCACCCAGGTGCCCTGACTTAATTATTTTTTAACTGGAAGTTTATACTTCTTAATCTCCCCTCTGGCAACCATCAGTTTGTTCTCTGTATTTAAGAATCTTTTTTTTTGTTTGTTCCTTTTTTCTTTGTTTGTTTTGTTTCTTAAATTCCATATATGAGTGAAATCATATGTCTTTCTCTGACTTATTTCACTTAGCATAATACCTTATATAGGTGCATCCATGTTGTTGCAAATGGCAAAAATCTCATTTTTTTCATGGCTGAGTAATATTTCATTGTATATATATACACCACATCTTTTTTATCTGTTTATCCGTTGATGGATACTTCAGTTGCTTCCATAATTTGGCTGTTGTAAATAGTGCTGTAGTAAACAAAGGACTCCATATATCTTTTTGAGTTAGTGTCTTCTTTTCTTTGGGTAAATATCCAGTAATGGAATTACTGGATCATAGGGTAATTCTATTTTTAATTTTTTGAGGAACCTCTATACTGTTTCCACAGTGTCTGCACCAGTTTACATTCCTGCCAACACTGCAGGAAGTTTTTTTCTCCACATCCTCACCAATAATTGTTAGTCCTTGTCTTTTTGATTCTAGCCATTCTAACAGATGTAAGGGGGGTCTCTTATTGTGGTTTTGATTAGAATTTCCCTGATGGTGAGTGATGTTGAGCATATTTTTGTGTGTCTTTTGGCCATCTGTTTGTCTTCTTTGGAAATATGTCTATTTGGGTCCTCTGCCCATATTTAATTGAATTATTTGGAGTTTTTGGTGTTGAAGATGTTAAGTAGACTTATTGTAGTAATCATTTTGCAATATATACAACAATGGAATCATTATATCATACATCTGAAACTAATATAATTTTATATGCCAATTATACCTCAATGAAAAATTAAAAAGAAAAAAAGGAAATACAGAATTTGAATGATAGCAAAGATCACTAATAATCTTTGCTTTGATATTCTTTAAAGAACTATAAAATTATGAAATTGAAATATTGAAGCATTAAAATCTACAAAATACTCTAGACATTATTTAAAAATCAAAATATATTTTAAAAACACAAAAAGATCATTATTTGTTTTCTTAGCTTTGACTTTATTACAAAGCTAGAATTGTGATATTTAGGTACCACTTAACCACCTTATTACTTTATTAGTAATAAAGCCTTTGATAAATTTCAATGTGAATATACTTTGTTTCTGGCATATATTTCTATGGAATGAATTTTGGAAATTTATTTTATGATTATTTTTAAAGAAAATGCAATGTTGTGGTGCTCTTACGGTGTTTGGTTCTAGAAGTTTTAAAGTATAAATTCCTTTTTCTAGGTTATAGGTTGAGTCCTCAAACATTAACTGCTATTGTTAAACGGTACAGCAAGAATGGCCGAATCTTCTTTGATGATTATGTTGCCTGCTGTGTGAAGCTTCGAGCATTGACAGGTATTGATCATTTAAAAATGGGTGCAGTATTATGTAGCTATGTTTCTGAATAGTATCTCTCGTTTTCTTCAACAAGTTTGTAATAGTATGTATTTTTCACCTTTATTCACTGTTAAATCTAATCACTTTTAAGGCTTTAAAAATTTAGTAATATGAATAGTGAAAAATTGTTATAGCTCAATTTTGGAAAGTTTTCTTTATGTCTCAGTTGCCCAAGTTATGAAATCACTTGATTTGATAGAGAATGAAGAGAGAGAGAGGGAAGAAGGCAGTGGAGTAGGAGAACCATAGGCTTGTCTCTTCCCACGAACACAGCTAGATAACTGTCAAATCATCCTAAATACTCCAAAAACTGACCTGGAGATTGACAGAACAAACTCCACAACTAAAGGGAGAGAAGCGGCTCCATTGAAGAAGGTAGGAAGAGGAGAGATGTAGATCAGGAGAGAAGTGGATCACGGGTGCTGCAGAGAGGAGGAAGCCGTGGTCATGGAGAAGGGCAAGAGAGAAAGGAGCACCCAGGAATGCAAAGAACATTTCCCCAAAGCCACTGGCTTGGAAAAGGGGAGGGGCTGAGTTTTGTGAATTCTTGCAGTCAGTGGGGCTTAAAACCTGGACTTTTAAAGGTTAGGGTGCTTGGCTAGGGTAGAGCCCAGAGGGCACTGTGCTTCTCCTGGAGAGAAGGCAGGCAAACAACCAGGGGGCAGATAGCATGGAAATAATGATCTGAGGAATGCTTGGAGCACACGGGAGAGTATTTGCTCTTCTTAGAGCATGTCCCTGAGAGGCAGCCTTCAGGGAGACACCTCTCCAGGAACAAAGGAGCTGGCTGATGTCATTTCCCTCTCCCGCCCCTTAGCATAAACACAGAGCCACCTGCCGGAAGCAGTGCAACACTGACACTGGCTATCTAACTTGTTTATACCAAACCTCACACCCCCGCACTCTGGCGGGACTGCCCTTCTCAGTCAAGCTTGCCTTAGTCCCAGTGTGGTGGGCTCTTCCCCCAAAGACCAGCACAAGCCCCTGCCCACACCGTGTCTCCCAACCAGAGAATTCTGCAGGGCCTCAGTTCTGGTGCAAGTGGTGTTAGGTCTGATTTCAGAAGCAGACCAGAGCACACCTACTTAAAACTGGCCACAGTCTGGCCAAGGACCGAACATTGCCCACAGCAGGTAAGTGGAGCCTCTGAAAACACCTAGCCTGAGGGACAGAGCAGCCAAAAGACAAGAACAGAGCACATGGAGCACACACCAGAGACACTCCCTGAAGTGCCAGGCCCTGGGCACTACGTGATGACCTCTTCATAAAGCAGTTACTTTCAGGAGCAAGTGACATAACTGGCTTTTCGAACACATAGAAGAAAGCAGAGACTTAGACAAAATGCCGAGATGGAGGAAGTTATCTGAAATGAAAGAACAGGATAAGGCCACGGCCAGAGATCCCAGCAAAACAGATATAAGTAACATGCCTGATGGAGAATTTAAAGCAACAATCATAAGGATACTCACTGGGCTTCAGAAAAGAATAGAAGACATCAGTGAGACCCTTACCACAGAGGTAAAAAAGCTAAGAAAGAATCAACCAGAGATGAAGAATGCAGTAAATGAGATTGGAAACAGGCTTGATGCAATGAACAGCAGGCTGGAAGAAGGAATGAATTAGTGACCTAGAAGACAAAATAATGGAAAATAATGAAGCTCAACAAAAGAGAGAAAGAAAAATTATGGAATATGAGAATAGACTTAGGGAACTCAGTGATTCCATCAAACAATAACATTTGTAATAGAGGCATCCCAGAAGAAGAAGAGAGAGAAAAGGGGGCAGAAAATTTATTTGGGGAGAAAAAAAAGAAGCTGAAAACTTCCCTAATCTGGGGAAGGAAACAAACATCCAGATCCAGGAGGCACAAAGAACTCCCTTCAAAATCAACAAAAGCAGGCCACACCAAGACATAGTGTAATTAAATTTGCAAAATATAAGTGATAGAGGAAAAAAATCTTAAAAAAAAAAAAAATCCTTAACTTAGAAGAGAGGACCCAAAGATTAGCTGGAGATTTATCAGCAGAAATTTGGCAGGCCAGAAGAGAGTGGCATGATTTATTCAAGGTACTGAATGGGAAAAATCTGTAGCCAAGAATATTGTATTCAGCAAGGCTTTCATTCAGAATAGAAGGAGTTTCCCAGACAAAAAAAACTAAAGGAGTCTGTGACCACTAAACCAGCCCTGCAAGAATATTAAAGGGGACTCTTTGAGTGCAATGGAGAGACCAAAAGTGACAAAGACAAGAAAGGATCAGAGAAAATCTCCAGAAACAATGACAAAACAAGTAATAAAATGGCACTAAATCCATATCCATCAGTAATTATTTTGAATGTAAATGGACTAAATGCTCCAATCAAAAGACATAGGGTGTCAGAATGGATAAAAAAATTAGACCCATCTATATGCTGCTTACAAGAGACTCATTTTAGACCTAAAGACAGCTGCAGATTGAAATTAAGGGGATGGAGAAATATTTATCACACAAATGGATGTCAAAAGAAAGGCAGAGTAGCAATACTTTCTATCAGGCAAACTAGACTTTAAAGCAAAGACTGTAACAAGAGATGAAGAAGGGCACTATATCATAATAAAAGGGACAATTCAATAAGATCTATCAGTTGTAAATATTTATGTACCAAATGAGAGTACCCAAATATATAAAACAATAACAAACATAAAGGAACTAATTGATAATAATACAATAATAGCAGGGGACTTTAATGCCCCGCTTACATCAATGGACAGCTCATCTAAACAGAAAATAAACAAGGAAACAATGTTTTTGAATGACACACTGGACCAGATGACTTAACAGATATATTCAAAACATTCCATCCTAAAACAGCATAATACGCATTCTTTTCACTTGCCTATGGAACATTCTCCAGAATAGATCACATATTAGGTCACAAATCAGGCCTCAACAAATACCAAAAGATTGAAATCTTACCATACATCTTTTCTGACCACAACACTATGAAACGAGAAGTCAACCACAAGACAAAATTTGGAAAGTTAAACAACATCGTGCTAAACATGGGTCAACCAGGAAATAAAATAAGAAATGAAAAAATACAGGGACACAAATGAAAATTTAAACACAATGGTCCAAAACCTTTGGGATGCAGCAGTGTGGTCCTAAACAGGAAGTATATGACAATACCAGCCTACCTCAAGAAGCAAGAAAAATCTCAGATAAACAACCTAATTTTATACCTAAAGGAGCTAGAAGGAAAACAAAACAAAAACAAAAAGACAACAAAGGGAACCTAAAGCCAGGAGAAGGAAGGAAATAATAAAGATTAGAGCAGAAATAAATGATATAGAAACTAAAACATCAAAAAACAGATCAGTGAAGTCAGGACCTCATTCTTTGAAAACATTAATAAAATTGATAAGCCTCTAGCCAGACTTAACAAAAAGAAAAGAGAAAGGACCCAAATAAATCACAAATGAGAGAGAAGAAATAATGACCAACACCACAAAAATGCAATTAGAAGATTATGAAAAATTATATGTCAACAAATTAGACAACCTGGAAGAAATGGACAAATTCCTAGACACATATAAGCTACTAAAACTGAAACAGGAAGAAATAGAACACTTGAATAGACTGATAACCAGCAAAGAAATTGAATCTGTTATCAAAAAAGGCCCAATAAACATAAGTCTAGGGTCAGATGGTTCCTAGGCAAATTCCACCAAATTTATTTTATTTTTTTTAAAGATTTTATTTATTTATTAGAGAGAGAGAGAGCGCACATGAGATGAGGGAGGGTCAGAGGGAGAAGCAGACTCCCTGCTGAGCAGGGAGCCCGATGCGGGACTCGATCCAGGGACTCCAGGATCATGACCTGAGCTGAAGGCAGTCGCTTAACCAACTGAGCCACCCAGGCGGCCCAGAATTCCGCCAAGTTTAAAGAAGAGTTAAAACCTTTTCTTCTCGAACTATTCCAAAAAATAGAAAAGGAAGGAAAACTTTTAAACTTATTTTATGAGGCCAGCAATACCCTAATACCAAAACCAGATAAAGATTTCTCTAAAAAAAGAGAACTACAGGTGATATCTCTGATGAACATGGACACAGAAATTCTCCATAAAATATTAGCAAACCGAATCCAATAGCACATTAAAAGAATCATTCACTATGATCAAGTGGGATTTATTCCTGGGTTGCAAGGGTGGTTCATTATTTGCAAATCAATCATCATGGTACACCACATTAATAAAAGAAAGGATAAGAACCATGTGATCATTTCAATAGATGTAGAAAAAGCATTTGACAAAGTACAATATCCATTTATGATTAAAAAAAAAAAACCCTCAACAAAGGAGGTTTAGAGGGAACATACCTCAATATGATAAAGGTCATATATGAATAAGACCCACAGCTAATACCATCCTCAATGAGGAAAAACAGCTTTTCGTCTATGGTCAGGAACAAGACAGGGATGTCTACTCTCACCACTCTTATTTAACATAGTACTGGAAGTTCTAGCAAGCAATCAGACAACAAAAAGTAATAAAAGGCAACCAGATCAGCAAGGAAGAAGTCAAACTTTCACTATTTGCAGATGACATGATACTTTATATAGAAAACCTGAAAGACTCCACCAAAAAATTGCTAGAACTGATACACAAATTCAGTGAAGTCATAGGATACAAAAACCAATGTACAGAAATCTGTTGCATTTCTACATACCAATAATGAAGCAGCAGAAAGAGAAGTTAAGGAATCAGTCCCATTTACAATTGCACCAAAAACATTCCATGCTCAGGGATTGAAAGAACAGATATTGTTAAAATGTCTATACTACGCGAAGCAGTCTGCACATTAAATGCAATCAATATCAGCAATATTTTTCAGAGTTAGAACCATCCTAAAATTTGTATGGAACCACAAAAGACCTTGAATAGCCAAAGCAACCTTGAAAAAGCAAAGCAAAGCTGGAGGGATCACAATTCCAGACTTCATGTTATATTAAAAGCTGTAGTAATCAAAACAGTATAATGCTGGCACAAAAGCAGACACATAGATCAATGGAACAGAACAGAAAACCCAAGAGGGAACCCACAACTATGTGGTCAGTTAATCTTCCAACAAAGCAGGAAAGAATATCCAGTGGGAAAAAACAAATGGTATTGGGAAAACTGGACAGCAACATGCAAAAGAATGAAACTGGGCCACTTTTTTACACCATACACAAAATAAATTCAAAATGGATTAAAGACCTAAATGTGAGACATGAAACCATAAAAATCCTAGAGAAGAAGGCAGTAACCTCTGTGACCTCAGCTGTAGCAACTTCTTTCTGGATAGGTCTCCTGAGGCAAGGGAAACAAAAGCAAAAATAAACTATTGGGACTTCATCAAAATAAAACGCTTCTGCACAGTGATGTAATCAACAAAACTAAAAGGCAACCTACAGGATGGGAGAAGATATTTGCAAATGACATATTTGATAAAGAGTTCCTATCCAAAATACATAAAGAACTTATAAAATTCAACACCCAAAAAACAAATAATCCAATTAAAAAGTGGGCAGAAGAAATGAATAGACATTTTTGCAGAGAAGACATCCAGATGGCTAACAGACACATGAAAAGATGCTCCACACCACTGATCATCAGGGAAATACAAATCAAAACTACAATGTGATAAGCACCTCACACCTGTCAGAATGGCTAAAAACAACACAAGAAACAATAGGTGTTGGTGAGGATGTGGAGAAAGGGGAACCTTCTTGCCCTGTTGGTGGGAATGCAAACTGGTACAGCCACTGTAGAAAACAGTATGAAGGTTCCTCAAAAAGTTTAAAATAGAACTACTTTGCCATCCAGCAATTGGACTACTAGGTATTTAGCCAAATACAAAAATACTAACACAAAGGGATACATGCACCCCGATGTTTATAACAGCATTATCTATAATAGCCAAATTATGGAAACAGCCCAAGTATCTATCAGTTGACAAATGGATAAAAAAGATGTGAGATATATATATATATATACATACATATGTATGTATATATCCCCAGTGGAATATTACTCAGCCATAAAAAAGAATGAAATCTTGCCATTTGCAAAGACATGGATGGAGCTAGAGAGTATTAAGCTAAGTGAAATAAGTCAGAGAAAGACAAATGCCATATGATTTCACTCATGTGAAATTTAAGGAACAAAACAAATGTGCAATGGGAAAAAGGGAGAGAAAGAGGCAAACCAAGAAACAGACTTTTAACTATAGAGAACAAACTGATGGTTACCAGAAGGGAGGTGGGTGAGGGGAATGGGGGAAATAGGTGATGGGGGGATTAAGAAACACATTTGTTGTGATGAGCACTGGATGATGTATGGAATTGTTAAATCATGATATTGTACCCCCAAAACTAATATTGCACTATATGTTAACTAATTTAAATAAAAACTGAAACTTTTGAGTATGAAATTAGTCATTTTTTTAGTGCAAGTATTTGAAACTATATATTTAAAATTTTAATATTTTTTGTTTGCTTGTTTAAAGATTTCTTTAGGAGAAGAGACCACTTGCAACAAGGGGTTGTGAATTTTGTATATGATGATGTGAGTATTCTGATATTTACACTGTGTTCTAGATGTGTTCAGTTGTCAAAAAATTTAAGTGATCCCTGGTATCAGTACTGGGATTAATATGTTTTATAGACCATATTCTTTTTCTGTTTTTTTCAGCTAAATGCAAATATGATTCGGTATTTGTACAAATACCAACTTGACTTTATATTAAACATAAAGATACTTCTAAATTTCATGACATGTTTTTGGCAGTTTATCTTTCAAGTCATTTTTTTAAAACATTTTATTTATTCATTTGTCAGAGAGAGCACAAGCAGAGGGAGCAAAAGAGGGAGAAGCAGGCTCCCCACTGAGCAAGGAGCCCGCTGCGGGACTCAATCCCAGGAACCTGGGATCGTGACCTGAGCTGAAGGCAGACTCTTGACTACTGAGCCACCCAGGCATCCCATCTTTCAAATCATTTTTAAGGGCAAAACTACCACTATTTTTATAAAGAGTAGTTTACTCTTGGTGATATTAAGAGAGAGGAAATTTTCATATATGACAGATTAGGACACTGTTCATTTCTCGTTTCAAATGGTTGCAATTAGCATCATCCCATTTTTTTTAATTGAATCTATAGGAAAATTATATTTTACATGTACATCAATGTTTCGGGGTTTTTGTTTTGTTTTTGTTATACGGAAGTTAGAGGGTCAGCATTTCCCTACTGGTATATCCCGGTTTACATTACAAGCCTTGGAAACATTTAAAACTTTCCCTCTTGTGAAAATGCTTTTATGGAGTATAATTAATCAAAAACAAAAACCATTTTATTGTTACCAGCTGATGATTTTGCTTATGTATTAGTTTTTGCAGGGTACTATGGCAATTTGAATGTCTAGAATTTGAAAGCTGAAGAAACACTGTGAATTTTTTTACCTGGAAGAAATGAACTGGACTACTTTGAATTTGAAGCTTTGGGGGCTTTTCTGTGTTTCTCTTTGTTAAACCTGTTCCCTTTCTATGTGTTTTTACTTTAGTGCATAGTTCAAAGCAATAAAAGAAGTGCTTTTGTATTTGGAATATTAATTGCTTTTAGAAAAGTTATCACTTAACAGGTATCTGTATGGTATCCTAAAATATTGGTATATGATGAATTGATATAAATACCTTTTAACTTTAATTTTTAACATTGTTAACCCAGAAGAATGTACTTACAAGAGACTATATAAGAAGCCAAATAATGAAAGTCTAGATAAAGCTAATGTATACTTACCAGAAGGTTACAAATTATACTTTGAAATTTTGTTTGTAGTCATTGGTTGTGAAAGGGAGCTAGAAGGAGAAGCCTGGATTTTGTGCCATATTTGTAAGAGAGTTTATTCCTTGATCACATAATTCAAGAACAGAAACTCACTGGTCTTTGTCTATGAAGAGAGAAAGTTCCTAAAATTTTATGTTACATCACCTTAGGTGCACCATAAATTAACCTATAGAAATAAGGCTACAGGAGGCATTTTTTTTCCTTTGTTTTTGTCAGTGCATATTTTTTTCAATATGCTTTTTTGTCTTCTGTGGAAAAAAAGTTCTTAATAAACATCCTTTTGTGACTGTACTTTTTTTCATTAGTGACAACAAAGCCTAAAATGGCATCTTCCTTTTAAATCTAGACTTTCTGGAAATGATACATATTTTTAATGAGATGTCAACATTTCAGTGTATTCTGTGAAGCTAAATTGTTTTATATATATAATGCCAACTGTTCACAAAATTAAAAAACAAGTAATCTACCACTTTGCTTAAATGTTCAGAAATTTTAAGTTTGACTTTCTCAACATTAGCTGCGGGTTTACCATTGGCATTGGTAAACTGGTAAGTCGTTGAGCGCAGGTGTGTAATGTGGGGGGTACTGACCACAGGTGGCACCATGGCCTGTTTCTGTGGCATTACTGTGGAAAGTTGCAAAGTGGTCATCAAATCCTTAGCATTTAAGATCCCTGGTATGAGCTGTTGTAATTAATCCAGCTGCTTTCCTGGCAAATGTTCTGTCTTTCTTAGTGAAGATTTAAAAAACATGTATTTTTCTTACACTTTAACTGAAGGTCTTCCAGTTTAAAATGTGAGTACAAATTGACATGATTTTAGTATGACTGGTGACCAAATTAATTAGGCTTTTTATAAAATTCTGTGTTTCTTAAAGGGTGGAGGGTGAATGGCAGTATCTTGAAAGAAAACTTTTTATAAACTCACAGAATTTTAAATCAACTTTTACTTTTAACAGTCCTGGAAAGGAAGTATTGGATAGTCATTTTGATATTATAATTTTATACAATTAGCTATCATTTGGTCAGCAGTATAAAATGTGTGATGAAATAATCCATATACTTTTGTCCTCTGGATGTTAAGTTTTTTTCCATGAACATATATTTGATAATGTGAGAGGATGTTAACTGAGCCATTAAAAAAAAAATACAGGATTCTAATTAGAAGTCTTGTTGGGAAAAACTAATGTAAACACACTCATATCATTCATGTTGAATAAGGGTGATAATATGACTCAGCAGCCTGGGATCTTAACAGCCAGTTTACAGGTAATCTAGTCACTGTACTGTTCTGAGGTCTGTTCTAGTTTTTCTTTACTTGGAGGCTACTGGTTGAGGCAAAACTTTAAAAATGACATATGGTATTCTTCATATAAATTTCTGCCAGATGACACTTTGTATTAGAACTCTTTATATAAGGCGCCTGGGTGGCTCAGTTGGTTAAGCGACTGCCTTCAGCTCAGGTCATGATCCCAGGGTCCTGGGATCGAGTTCCCGCTCTCCCACTCCCCCTGCTTGTGTTCCCTCTCTCGCTGTGTCTCTCTCTGTCAAATAAATAAATAAAAATAAAAAGTCTTTAAAAAAAAAAAAAAAAGAACTCTTTATATGATTCTCTAACTCATCCTCTTCCAAAGGTGTTCTTATGAATTTTGGTCGTAGGAGATCTGTGAAGGAGTTTCGATGAGCAAATGTACTTGGGAAATTTTCACCTTTTTCAGGGAGTTTGATAAAGCCTAAGGTACATAAAATCCTGTTTACTTTTATTTGACCCAGTTTTTTCCAAACTTTTTTGACCACAGAACCCCTTTCTCTAGCAAAGCTGATTTTCCATGCCAATCCAACTTACTTGTCAGACAGTTCTTTTGCCCTTTCCATTAAACAGATAATCTTACCAGACGTTAGCCATTGAGAATATTTTACTTGGATTTTTATACTGAAATGCAATTCACTTTTTGATGCTCTCAAGATAATTGATGTAAACAGACATCCATTACACATAAAAATTAAATAGTGGATGATGAACAATGACTGGAATATGAATATAATGTAGTTTGTACTGTTTAACTCACACCCAGTTTTCTTGTAATGATGTAAATTATTGAATAATGTACACTCTTAACATCTAAATGCTTTTATTTGTACAGTAAACATGTTTCCATGTCATTTTGAGAATTTTTTAATAAACATTCAAATAGCTTGCTGTAAAGTTTTGTATCATACAAAATCTGTTACATATATGAGATGCTTCAGTTCAAATAACAGTGCAGTAATTCACCCCTACCTATTAACACTGCCAAATGATTATGATTAAATATCAGGTATTGCACTTCTATTTTGAGTGGCAGTTTACACATTTTAAATTACATCAAGGGGAAATCAACACTATTTTGAATCTTAATTTGGTCCACTTTAAGTGTAATTTCAAGGACTGTGCTCATGTGATCTATTTAAGCATGCATTCAGAAACAGAAAGTAATTTAAAAATGTCAAATGATATGTTTATTTCCAGAAAAGGTATTCACCCTGGAAGAAAGTAAAATTTATTAACGTAGTTTAAAGTCTGTGCAATTTAAAAAATGAGAAAAAATATCAATTTGTGATTATTTAAGTAAAATACACAAATCAAGTTCACTTGTACTGTTATGACATTACTAAACGGGACAAGCTAAATACTATTTGTCAGAAATGTGCTTCTCTTTTGTCCTTTATGTTTGACAGACTCATAGATGATATGTTTTCTCTATTAGTCGCAGTTTTCTGGGAACTTAGTAGGAATACATTTGTGAAAGTCTGGTGATTATATTTAGTGAGTAAAAATCCAAGACTTCTTTGCAGTTAGCATTTTTTTTTTTCTTTTAAACTTCAAAATGCAACCATGGTGTTTTATTACTTTGAAACTTGTATTTAAAAACCACATTTTTTTTGGTCTTATAGCACTTTGAAATAAATGTACAATGCTAAGCTATCATCTAAGAGTATGTCTAGACTTTATAATAAAATTAGATGATACAAAGAGAAAACAAATATTGAGAACTTCTGTTATAGTGATGAATGCAGAGAGGATTTTAAACGAATACCGGTTTAGGTAATTTGTAGTCTAGAATAAGGTTATAACATCATATATGTCCATATGTTAAATTTTTTCCTGTAATTTAGAATACTGAGCACAAAACTACTTTCCAGTAAGACACTAGGATACTTACGAAAAATTTATGTCTGACTCACTATCAACTCATTATTTGGATGCTGGGAAATCTGTGCTTTTAATTGTTTCTTGCCATGTCTTTTTCTGCTTGTTTTAAAAAAACGTATTTTACTGGCATATGAAGGAAAGAGCCTTATATTATGTAACATTCCTTTTAACCAGGTAGCTTGGTAATATACAGCTGTGTGTATTATTTTGCGAGCATTCAGAACTCAGGTGTGCTTCTGTGTATGTGCATATATATAGCAAGTAGACATTGGCAGGACTCCTACATTACTGTGATGTGCCATACAGTTAGGGGGGGAAGAGGGTCCTTGCCTATGAGCTACTTGTATTTCCAGGTGTACCCCTTCCACAACATCAGAGATGCTGGCCATCTGGAAAGCTTACAGGAAATGACAATTGGGCTCTGTCATCCTTCAATAGCTATAGTCAGAGACAAATAAGCCAGAAATTAGTACCTTCTTCTGACACATTGTATGTGTGTGTTTGGGGGGGGTGTGTCCCAGCCTTTTCCCTTAAGCATGAAAATATAAATATATACACACAGTCATTGGCATTTTAGCTGGCTGTATTTAATCACATTTTATCTTGCTGTGATCACTGAAATTTCAAAGGGTAACCTGAACAGGTATGAATGTTCCAGAAACATACTAAATAAAGACCCATATTCTTTTGAAAATCATAGGCCATTTTAAAAAAAATTAGGATTAGCCAAACTTTTGGATGCATATGTAATTTCCCAAAGCTATCTAAATACGTCACCCCCAAATTCATCTTATGCAAGAGATTTTAAGTTTTTAAATAATTAGCTTATTCGTACTTTGATTCTCATTTTCTAATCAGCCTCACTTAAAGATACCAGTACATTGCTTTCTGATAATCTATATTTGATTTGGTTTTTCATTTATTATATAGGGAAATGTTCTCTTGGCTTTTTAAACCTTAAGAAATGGATGGTGGGGAATCTAAGCCACTAAATGGACCAAATAGTCTTTAGCTTAGAAAATGCCATATTGTGACCAACAAATTTTATTGAAAAGATTTCTCTGAAGATAGTTGGATTTTTTTTTTTCTTAAATAATAGATAAATGATTCTGGGGGGGAAATTAAGCGCATATGAAACTTAGGCAAATGAAAATAATGTAATCTGGATATTTCCATTCTTGATGAAAAAAAAAATGAACCATGTACACATTATACGGAATTCGTGTCCCATGTAATTTGAAGCCCGCTTAGTTATCGGAAATCTTAAGTAATGAAACAATAAATGTTTCAGTAAATTACCATTATGTTCTTGCTAGCCAATAAGAAGAAGTGAAGTGTTTTTATGTTTCTTTAATTTTAGATTTAATGCTTTTTACCACTCAGTCCAGTTTACTGGTGTCCCAGTGGAACTCCGTAAACTGTAGCAGCACTGTTACAGTTATGTGATTTCATGAAATACATCAGCACCACCATGCCTATATCTAGCACTATGCCTAGGAAAATGTTGGAAATAGTTGGCTTCTCTAATAAAAGTATTCTAACTAGCTAATGAGATTTACTTTCTTTTTCCCCAAAATAATTTCTTTTACAAATTCTTGAATTTTCATGTATAAATAGATCAGAAATTATATGCTTCGTTCTTAAATTATGTATATATACTATATTTTCAATACAACTTGTACACTTTTAGCTACCAAAAATTTGCAACCATTTTTACATGAAATTTACATTTTTCTTATTTACAGTTATTTGTAGAAGGTTATTGCAAAACTAGTTGTGCAAGTAGATTACACTGTCAATACCACATACCAATCTTTGAAGAAAATATTTGCTAAAAAATAAATATTTCTGCACAGAGTATTTCAAAAGCATCATGATTTCATGCTACATTATGTGCATAAAGACTAGGAAAAAGTATGTGTTTTGGTAGATTGTTTCTTTACGTTTAAAGCATTCCAAGGTACTTACTACTTAACCAATGTGAGTGAGCTTCTTTGTATCAGATGACTGACATTTTCAAGTGATTACACACATTATTTTTGAAATGTACTATTTAACCGGCAAACATTCTGATGTACATTTTCCTATCAAAATCATAGAATGCAAATTTCAGCTAAAAAGAGGTAATGTGTCTTTCGTTAAAATCTGTAGGTGCATAGGAGATGAGAACTAGGGATTCCTCAGTATTTTTATTACTTTTTTTAATATTTGGGAAAAAGTGTAGCATATAATTTCAATGCTGTAATTATAGAGGCATTTTGAAGACGCTATGGAGGAGGTAATTATAAGATTACTGATCCTTGAATTTTACTCCTAAATAAGGATGATGGAATGGTGTGGCATCTTCTTACAGGTATTCAAAATACTTAATACATACTTAATATATGTTAATAATGTATATAGTGACAGTACAAAAAAAGATATGGTTTAAATACTAACAGGTGTGATTATTTTCAACTTAAAAGCAATACACACGAGGGAAGTACCAAAAATACAGGTTAAACATACAGTGCTTTAAAACCGTAAGTGTACCAAATTATTTTGTATCTTTTAAATTAACTAATGGAAGTCACAAACGTCATGACTACAATTTAGGAATTCAACTTAGTTTTGACATTAGCTCTTCAAGAGTAACCATGTTAATTTTGCCACTTCTCATAATAAAAATATTTTATTGAGAGCATTTCTATAATACTTGCTACTCTCATTTAATAAGTTTGATTATGACTGGTAGAACAATGAAATTGTTCAATTGACTGTATGGTTCTGTGTTCTTAACATTGCATTCCTATCGATGTTTTGTCCGTCTATTCATAATAATAATGTAATAGTTCTAAATGACTTCTTGTTAGTCGTCTCTCTCAACCTCCACTTAATAGTTTATATAAATAAGCTTTGTGATACTTTCTTTTCATGCCATCAATTATTGATAATTCATGTCTTCCTGTGAATTTTCCTTTGCACCACAGGACATGTAATGAATTATCCTAAGCTCAGGCACTGATCAGTCACAACAACGAATATTTTATAAAGTATTTTAAAACATCTTTTTAGTTTTTAAAATGTCCACTTCCTTGTAAGTTAAGTGGAAGCCAGAGAAGATCGCTTTGAACCAGAACGTTTAGGAAGTGAGGAGGGAGGCGAAGCCATTGCCTACCTAGAAGACAACTGCAATGCAAATACATAATGCTATGGGTGTTGGACAAATCCTGGGATGCTATGGCAGAGGACGCTTCCCTCGCACTGGGGTTCTACTCTGACTACAGCCCTGTGAGAATCACGGTAGACATTTTTGTCACAGAGTGGAAATGCTGTCAGTGTTGAGTAGGGGAAAGAACTATGGAAGGTTTTCAGAAGACCTAGGTCGTGCTATGGCATTTCCACCGGAATGACACCGTATTGTGATGATGCACAAGTCACCTAAGGAGCTTACCAGTTACATGGTGCTTTACGGTTTACGAAGCACTTCCACGTATATACTCCAGAGGCTCCTCAAGACCCCTCAGGATATTTAAGACGGTGCCTCTACAGTTTGGGCTCCGGGGCTCACTGAGGGTTTGTCTTGAAAGTAAGTGCCGCAGGTAGGATTTTAATTCAGGTTTACCACTCTCTTTGCCTTTTCTACCACTGAACACTGGACTGTGTCTGTTTAACGTATCTGTGCATGACGGAGTGGGCCTTGATGCCTGCAAAGAACCATGACAACTATAAATTCTATTTTCTGAAAAAATAGTGTTATTTTCTTTCAAAAGCGTATTTCGAAAATGCATTTTCAAATATCCATGTGGGAACTATATTGTGGATCTAAAGAGGGGCTTCCCCGGTGAGCCGGTCTTTACAGCCCACGTTCTACTTGTACCCAATTCAACAGATCACCTTACATACCTGGCATTTAACATTGATTCGGGGTAGATAGGTTTGTAACAATGACATTCATACTCTCACTTTTATTATTATAAATAAGAAGTATTACTTTAAAGCTATAAACCTAATAGTGCAAAATACAATTAGAGAAAACAATAGCTACACTTGAGTTTTCTGAATCAAAAACTTCAGTCTTGGTAACGGCTCTTTAGCTGGAGACAGCACATTATGTAGAAGCTAAATTGTGGAAAATTATTTGTTTTCCTGATTGTTTTTGAGATGTTCCTAGGTGAAAATCAAAGAATCTAGAGTTTTGGGGGCACCTACTATGTGCCAGGCACTTTACTATATGTTATCTCATTTCTTAAGCTTCTTTGAGGCAAGTACCATTATCTTATTTTTACAAATTCAGGAAAAGGACTCAGGGACGTTAATTAAATTGGTCAGGGTCACACAGCTATTAATGAAAGAACTCATCCCGAGGCCCATCTACCTTGATGATTCTCAAAGTTCTTGTGTTTATTGGGATCATATAGGGCAGGGCTTGTTCAAAGATGATTGCCAGGTCCCACCCCCAGACTTTCTGAGTCAGTAGGTCTGGGTGGGGCCCAACAATATGCATTTCTAGCATGTTCCTCAGAGGTGTTAGTGCTGCTAATTCTAGGACTCCATGTGAGGACATTGTTTTGTCTTCCAAGTGCCTCTAAACTCACATGACAGACACATTTGTACTGCCAAAAAAGAAAAAATGATTAGAAACCTAATAACATTTGAAGTTTTTTGTAATTTATAAAAATTTCGATTTGTAGTAAGAAATCTACTCAAATACATTGATCTGCTTTTGGTTTTAACCATGGATAAGTAATTTAAAGGCTACTATATTATAAATTAGTGTTGTGATTCATTTCTAATAACTAGATCTACCACATCCCTTTTTTTTTAACCATGAAAAGCCTTCAAAGGAAAGATACTGTAAGAACGATTATTTTAGGTATGTTGATGAGGTGATAAATTTTATCCTTTCATAATATATGATGGGATTTTAAATAACATTTGGTTAAGGACACTGTTCTTTCAGGCATTTTGGAACCATTGCTAAAGATAAACCTCCAAAAGACCTGTAAGCAGCCCTAGCTCACACCAACGGCTGCTATGCCCCAACCTGGTTTCCGTATCTTCCGCCTGGAAGAGTAGGAGAATTCATCTCCGATGACCAATCCATTATCATGGACCTAAGAAACTAGGCTATCCCAAATTTGCCCCTGCCTTCTCATGTTTGTTCAATGAGTGATTATTAATTTAAAAATCCTGCAAGGACATCGTGTCAGCATTTTTTTGTTCCTCCTTTCCTTGTCAACTTATTAGAATATGGGACTCCCCTGTAGGGTAAAATGATACTTCCTGCTCTCTGCCCAGCAGTTAATAACAGCAGGAAAACATCTCACTCAGATGAACTTCAGATTTTAGATGGCATTTTATTTAGGCCTGGGAACCAGGTAACATTATTTTTAGGTGGAAAGCAAAAGGAGTTACGTTAATGCTTCCAGTTCCCTGGAAGAAGAGCAGTGGCTATATACCACTATGACTGGCTGTAGCAGTCAACCCCGCCTCTCAGGACGATCCCCGCATGCAGGGCTCAGGCTGTTCGCTACAGCCCGTGGGCAAAGGGACAGTGACTTGGGGCATTAGGCCTCTGGCCGGGTCAAGGAGATGGATTTTGTAAAATGAGCGAATTGCTTTGGTCATCCATAAGTCATTTTAACCATTGAGCCTCTGACATTTCTGCCTAACTAACCACATCTTCATATTGTTCAGGCTCTTGTTAAGCTGATATCCTATAAGAGGGGACCTTCTTAATCCTGTCCAGTTCTCCGAGGCTTAGATGATAACATCAAGCGATTTTTTTATGTCAAGGAATTAAAAGGAAGACAGTCTGTGTTATGCTAGAATTTAAACAAGCGGGATGCTGGTACACTATTCCCCATCTTCCTATTCCTTCATGCTCAGTTTTTATAAAGAAGTATAGAGGCTTGATGTGAAAGGCTGAATTTTACACATGTCATACCAGTGTTGCAGCTGAAGCATTCACTAATCCAACCATCAGATCTAAACGCCTCACCTGCCAAATCCTCGCTCCCTACAAATGAACAGTCTCTGGTGAATTTATATTCTGAATTTCCCTGAAGCTGAGGCTGGCAATCCTTATGAAATTTGTTGCAGCTGCAAAAATGTGCCTAAATATGGACATAAAATCCTTAAATAGTCCTCTGAATCAAAGTTAGCCATTTCTTCCCCCCTGCTAGGCACCCATAAATGTTTGCTGAATGAAGGAAGGACAGCATCAGTTAGTCCCTAAATTTGTATCTGCATTAACACCAAATGGTTTGAGAAGCTAGTTGAACTTGTTCTATTTTTTATTGGGAATGGACTGGTCATTTTGCCATACGTACTTGTTTTTTTTTTTTTTTTTCAAACACTTAGCAGGGATGTGAATTTGCTCATGCCTACAGATTGCCTCCCACACATGTGACCGTTTAAAAATATATAGGGAGCAACTTAAGGTCACTTTAATCATATTTTAAATAGTGCAATAGCTTTGTAAATTTAAATGAATTGCTTGTATTTGAAACTAATAGTGTCAAAGGTAAAGGTAAGTCAATAGATTACATTTCTATCTTGGAGGGATAGAAATTAATCCATTTAATAATGTGCACGGATATATTATTTCTTTAAAAATACATGTGAGTATAAGAATCATTAAAGAATGAAGAAACTTGCAGAAATTTCAAAATTTTGTTCAGAAGGAAAGGGTATAATGGATCAGTCCCTAATAAGTTTAAAATTGTACTCAAATGAATTGAGAAATATAGCTTGACTAAAAATTGACTAATCAGATTCTTAACATGCAATTTTTTTCTGCATCCTGATTTTTATGAGAGGCATATGCTCCTCCCTCCAAAAAAAATCTAACAGTTAAGGATATTAAAATATATTCCATTGTATGTTCTGATATTCTGGCGTCCAAATATATTCGGCCCAATCCATAAATAATACATTTTCATTTAATCTTTGATTAGGAAATGTGTTTGACTAATCGAACGAAACTGAAATGTTACTGCTGGTGTATTCATTTCCTTTACAGGCAGGTAAAAACACATTGTTTTTCCACAGCTGGGATAAGAAAACCATGGAACAACATATACTTAATGGAAGCTAGTTTTGCCATGCACATCCACTAAGTTGCACATTTTTTAAAAAGAACTCTGTGCGTCCACTCTTTTGATCCAGTTCAGGATTGCCCTAAAATATGAATCAGAGGAAAACTCTGGATATCAGCTTGTGTCAGTCATGCTTAAGACTCCCTCCTCCCTCAAAAAAAAGAAAGAAAAATGAGAAAAAACTTGTTTCTAAATGTTCAAGGAAATGTGCCAGTGAGAAATATTTTAGGTAGTTTGTAAATGAAGTTAGAGACAGAATTTTAAATAGAAAGGCCTTTTTGTCCTCCTTAAAGCTGGCCTATATTCATGTATTTGGAGATGGCTCCCTACACGATCAGAGATTTAGAACTTTTTTAGAACTTTTTTTTTTCCCCCGGTGTGGTGAAATGAATGTAATTAACTATAAACATCTCAATACAGAAGGGTATCTATCTGTTCTCAAAATGACTAAGTTCCCTTTCTCCTCCTGGAACTTCCATGAGTTGGGGATCACCTGATTTGCATCCATGAACAATGTTATTCCTTGGTTTCTTACTTGCTTGGAAGGCATTTTCATAACAAAATACTGGGGTAGTAAAAGTAGTAAGTAGGAGTCTCCATGCAAGAGAAATTGGAGTTTCCTAACATGCACAGGATTTTAAAAATAATAAGATGCCTTGAGATGCTGGCAGTTTTAACATTTCGAACAAAAGAGTTCATATGTATATTTACATCCTAATTGCTCAATTTCACCTTACAAGCTTCAATTTAGGAAAATATACAGTACTTTTGCATATTAATGGTAACTTGTGAGCCCCTGAGTCAAGTAGAGAGGATTTAAATACAAAAAAAGGAAAACAGCCATTAAAAGCACTTACATTGTATGTGGAGTAAATAGTACAAAATGATTATTTCCCCGGAAGACCAGGATCAGAAACATGCCTATGAAGACCCAAGATTCCTACAGTGCTTAGGGATGAATCTGTCAAAGAAGGATGCCTAATTGGATGAAGGTAAGTTTTTCTTTGCCGTGGGTGAAGCTCTAAAGAGAGATCACTGTCTTGTTTTAAAAGTGAAGTCAAGTTGTCTTCGGAAGCTGTGTTCAGATGCACCCCACTTGAGAGGGATTCTTTGGATTTAAGTTTAGATTTTTCAAGGTCTAGAAATTCAGGACACTGAGAGAAAGATAAGAAAACATGTTTTTTATAATTAATTTGGACAGATTTCTATAATTATACTCATGAAATCTAAATACATTTTATTTCCCCATTAATCTACATTTGATTAGTAATATTAACAAAGCTTTCCCTCCCAAAGATGGGTCAAGGCATTGGAGGTTGGGCATCAGTTTGTCCTAAACAACCATTCTAAGAACTTTAATTTTACTCTGAAGCCAGATCAGATTCTTCTTAAAAAATACACACACACACACACACACACACACGCACACACATTATTTAACATTGAGTTTTCCAAATGAGTTTTAATTAAAAAATAAATTAATTTTAATTAGAGACAAGTGGAATCAGAAACATGGGTCATTTGGTGAGTAAACAGTGTAAAGAGGACAGAAAAAAAAAAAAAAAACCCTGAAGAAATATCACTCATCCTTGGTCAGAAACTATTACCTAAATCCATGGAAAACAAAGTACATGGTTTTGCAAGATCTTAGACATTGAAAATTAGTTAGGGATAAATTAAATTTCTACTTTCATAATTCAGAAAGATTTCAGTGTTTTCCTTCTGCACATTTCCCCGTCATTAATGTTTCATTTCCCAGAACATTTTGCACTAAATTTCCAAACTTCTAAAAAAGTTTACAAGATCGCTCAGGAAATCCTTGCTCTTGGGTCCACTTTTCTTAGGTCCAATTTGGCTACTGGGCTTAAGTAAATAAGAATAATTTCCTAAGTGGAATTCCAAAGGAGTTAGACTTTTCATATTAACATAATTCAAAAGGCCTTAGAAGTCTTCAGAGGCAAGATAAAGGACACCTTAGTATTCCTCCTCTTACCATGATGGAGATGAGAAAAGTTTAGAGATCTCTGATGATGGGTGGGGCACAAACGAGATTACTAGTCTGTTGGCTCTGGAAACTCAGGTCTTTGGAGCTGATGTTTCTCCTCCACCCCCCACCCCCTGCCTTCCAGAGACCCTGCCCAAGAGTGCCTCTTGTCACCAGAGCAAATGACAGACCTTTCTCTGAAGCACTTTTTGGACCCTGGGCTATCAGTTTTCAAAGCTCTACCATATATAAACTTAAGCAGATTAATTCTTGAAAAGAATTTTTTCTTAGAAAAAAAATTGCTAATGTTTTAAAATCATTCTAGGTACACTGTTCTCGAACTTGAACATAAGAATCAGTGAGGAGCTGGTTTAAATGCAGATTACAGGGGCTATTCCCAGCAATTTTAATTGAGCAGAAACAGATGGGGATGAGAAACTTCATTTCCATAGCACCACAGATGATTCTGACTCAGATGGTCCCCAGAAACACACCTAGAGAGATACTCTTCATTGTACACTATCTACACTCACTTGTGAGGAAGGACTGAAACTTCGGTCCGTCTTGATGGATGCTGCGGGATGGCTGGTTCTCATCAGGCGGATGATGGGCCTCTGATACTCGGCTCCAGCAGTTACCATACTGTAGGCTGGGGGGACCACGGTGGTTTGTTTCTGCAGCAACTGTAGGATGGCCTGGATGTCAGCAGTCATTTGGGATTCAAGTCTGCAGGACAGGCACAAATGGGGGAAGACAATCCTAAAATAGTCCAGGATTGCAAAGCATTTGAGAAAATTTCAGCACCACCAACCAACAGAATTAGGGCCCTGCTTTAAACAAGAAGGACAAGAGAGGGAGCACAGAGATTCTCTCCCAGCTGATGCTTACTTTCTATGTCCCACTAATAGTTCTCATAAACACCATTGCTTTCCTCCTCATTTAATAAGATCTTTGCAGAAAAGCAGCTTAATCGAAATAGGCTACATTTTTACTAATCTTTATTGATTTCAAATGTAAAGCACATTTAGACTCTATTTTTAATCAGTAATTTGCTTTTTCTTGTGAGCATTTTATTTACTCTTTAAAAATGGATTTGGTAGCACATTTCTTTCATGGCTGCAGCAGTCAAGTAATTTCTTATGTTTCAAACTTATGTTACCTTTATTTTACCTTGCCTCTCTCCTATTCACAGTATTGCCTGTTACTCCTTTAGTGATGTTAGATGCTTTATCATTAAGAGCTCTTGGATGCTAAATGCCTTTTCCCTTCCTTTCTCATTTATAATTCCAGGTCTTTGGTATTTAAGAAACAGACCAAATGTATAAGTTCACTTGCTTCTCTGACTCATCTGGCTTGCAAAATGCCAGTCTGATGATGTTCCCCCCCAAATCTCACAAAGAGCCAACTGGCCTGTCAATTTCATTCTCATTTTAAATTAAAATTCAAAGGAAAACAGCAAGATACAATAGGACTAACCCCCCCACACACACTTTTTTTTTGCATGTGTTAACAGCATTTTCAAAAAGGGAATTTTGTGGGCATAAGAACAGAAAATTAGTACCGTATGCCTCTTTAGAAAACTTTAACTCTTCACTTATTTGTGCTATTTTGTTTCCGAATGAAAGATATAAAGGGAAGGTAAATCTTACCCAAAATGTTAAAAGCACAGACCTTAGAATCTGCATTTTAACAAGATCCCCAGGTGATTCTGATGCACATTAAAGTTTGAGAAGCTCTGTTTTAGGACCAAGTGTTAATGATTTCCCTAAATATGTATATCTGTAGACATAATATATAAATATATAAGAACCCTTCTTATGTAAACCTTTACCCATACATATAGTTTAGCTGGTCATTAAAGCCAAAAAGCAGAAACAGTGAAATTGACTCAAGATAGACCATTTACTAGCTGTTTTTTTTTTTTTAAGATTTTATTTATTTATTTGAGAGAGAGAGAGAGATAGTGAGAGAGAGCTTGAGTGGGATTGGAGAGGGAGAAGCCGGCTCCCCGCTGAGCAGGGAGCCCAACATGGGGCTTGATCCCAGGACCCTGGGATCATGACCTGAGCCGAAGGCAGACGCTTAATGACTGAGCCACCCAGGCGCCCCTGTTTTTTTTTTTTTTTAATTTGACCTAGAGAGAGAGTGACAGGATGAGAGTGAGAGCAGGGTGAGGAGCAGAGGGAGAAGCAGACTTCCCACTGAGCAGGGAGCCCGATGTGGGGCTTGATCCCGGGACTCCGGGATCATGACCTGAACCGAAGGCAGACGCTTAACTGAGCCACCCAGGTGCCCCTGTTTTTATTGCACTGTGTACTTAATATGAGTATTTGAATGAGAGAAACGGGGTTGTGATTCACGGTTCTACATTTGAACAGAATGCAGAAACTAAATAGGACAGACCGAAATCTAGGAAATGTCCCGGGATTCTCACTCTGCAAAGTCCAAGTTTGAATTGAGTTGTCTTCTTCAAACTTGTTCTCTATGCTCTTGCCTTCTGAAGTAAAGTGGAGGAAAGATGTTGTTGGAGATGTCAGTGCTGTAAACATGTAATATAATGGATGTTCAATCCAAAAGACGCTAAGCTGAGTTAGGACATAAAATGTTTGTGATAAAACTGGAGATAAACAGAAGTAAATCAAAGTGAGAAGTATGTCAAGGGACGTACAGATGCTGGGACGATGTCAAAAGAGATGTCAAGAGAGATTAAGTAGTACTTTTGAGAGGAAAAGTTTCATATAATAATAATAACTAATCTAATCAAATAACAATGATAATTATTATTACGAATGGGAGATTGCAAATCATATAGTCCTAGATATGTGTGCCCTTAAGAGTTTACACTTACAGTCGTCGGACCTATCGAAAACATATGTTTCCAGTAATCTTTGACTTATCCTGGCAGCAATGATTGGTACCCCTGACAAGGCAACAAAGGGATCCTAAAATCTTAATTTTAGTCTGGAAGAAAGGACTAAAGGAAGTACATGTAAAGTAGGAGGAACACCAATAAGAGAAGTAAACTTCATTGCCTGTCAGACTTGACCCAGTTGCTAGTACAGCAGCCTCCATTTTGAGTGTATATCGTTTCCATATATCATATCTTCGTCCTTAAACACCGTTACAGGTGTGGATGAGTCAAAGCTAGAAACTGAGGCTAGAGAAGCTTAAATGACTTGACCCAGTCATCCTGTACATAGCTAAGTAGCAGAGTTATGACTTTAATCTAGGCTACCTGCAAGTATTTTGCTAAAGAAGTCCCTGCTGTCCCTGTCATTCACCCATTCACTCACTCACTTTTATAGCTCTTCAACAAATTGAACACATGCTATGCCGGGACAGTAAAGAAATGGGCAGTTATTTTCTCTAAGTCACAGGAATCAAAGAATTCAAGTTCAGAGATCACACATATCAATTCTTATGTGTGTACAGTATACAGTTTTATTTTTTTAATTTTAATTTTTTTTTTAGAGATTTTACTTATTTATGTAACAGAGAGAGAGCACAAGCAGGGGGAGTGGCAGGCAGAGGGAGGGGGAGAAGCAGGTCCCCCGGGACTTGATCCCAGGACCCCGGGATCCTGACCTGAGCCGAAGGCAGCCGCTTAACTGACTGAGCCACCCAGGCGCCCCAGTATACAGATTTATATATGTTGTGGCTAAAGGATCAATGTCACTTGGCATTAAGTGTCAGGGAGAGTAAAACAGCAAACGTGTCAATTAAGCAACTAACTAGGTTCCTCTGACCAATAGTAAGTATTACAATGGCAAGTTCTTATACTTGAAATACGGATTACTGACTCTAAGTAAATGACAGGCTGTTTTAATGTTCTCAGATATGTTTCAATTTGACAAGACCTGCATTTAAAATTTGGGAATGGGCCTTAGCACCAGGAGATTTTAAATTCAATTAAAATCCATGAAAAAATAAAACACAAAATAAATCTTCAGTTCACGCAATATTTTCCTACTTTTGTTTGACATTAACAAATTTATTTTAATTTACAAATCTGTCGATTTTCTAATTCTATTTGTCTGTTTTAATTCCTAATGAACTTTTCATGGCAATGTGTATGTGTGTGTACGCACACTTTGATGTGCTTACTGTATTGTTTGACACTGTTCATCTCTGGCAGAAACATTTAAAAAAACGGTAAGAACAATAAGCAGCATGGATAAAGCACATAAGAAACATTAAGCAAATAGTAAGTAAGCCAGCAGCTTATGTGGTAAGACTCCTGGGATGTGTCAAGTATAGATAATGAGTAAGGAAGTGGCTGGCTAGACATGGACAGAATTCCTAAGATGTCTTCAATACAGACAGCATGCTAGTAACCTGTAAGACATGCCAAAGATAGAATAGAAATATGATGTAACAAATCAGAGGGTGGCCTATACAGAGAGAGACAGAAAGAACAAATTATTCTCATGTCATCTCTGGACAGAAAACTGCCCCCTCCCCCAATTTGGCCATCCAGTGGTGACACACAGAAGAGGCTCATGCTAGCAGGCTCTCCCTGTTCTTTACCTACAAAAAAGCAAGTAAAACCTATGGCTGTTCAGCAGAGTAAATGGAGAGCCACAGCTGTGACCAGGTGTACCCAGCCTTACATCTCTGTGAAAAAGCAAGTGTGTGCCATTGGGATAGACAGATTATTTCTGTGGACCCGCTGTGCAAACCTCAACTCTGCTGGTCCTAGTAACCACACCTCAGGGCAGGAGGATGCACCATATATGAACGTTCCATCAATCGGGATTCAACTGTAGCGGGCTTCTTTTATACTATGCTTGCATTTATTAGAAATGTGTTACTCTTCTCGCTCTCCTCATCTCTCATCATACGTTTTACATTGATTTAGTAAACTGTGTGATTTGAGCATTTTAGTTTAATTGGTTAAGCTTTCTGTCTGTGACCACTGTCTTGCCCGCTGGTGTACCCGGAGGCTACCTTTGAATCAAGGTCAGTTCCCACATGGAGCACAACTCACGCAGCTATGTCATACTCATTCATGGATTTTTTTTTTTTCCTGAGTCTTATCGACCAGTTTAATTTTGAGAAATCCACACAGAGTTGGGTTAAGGAATTCCATCCTCTCTAAAATCAAAATTTATTCCTCATCCCAAAAGGGTATAGATCAAAGATGGAGGGAAAATGGAGAAGACCTGGGCTTCAACTCTGCGATATTTCTAATTCAATCACATTTTTGAGAAGCTGACTGAATAAATGTTTAAATAATTTTGTCTATATTTAAAAAAATGCCATAACATGTAACTAAGTTACCAGAAACAACCAAAAAGTGTAAAAGCAGGATTTAAAGAGGGTGTTAGTAAATAAGCTAAATATGAATTATTTTCAGGAAAAAGAAGTTTTCTTCAGCAGCTGGTGTGGGTGATATACTAATTTTATGACAAGTAAAGCAAAAATAGGATTTATGTTGCCAGAAGCATCAAGTTTCTAAATAAATGCTCTTTGCAACACAGATTAATAATTCTGTCAACTTTTAGTCTTATTTTAAATAAATAAGCATATGCAAAAAAATATGAGATTATGGTAGTAGGAATTTGCAAGTTGCAAGGGGAAAACCTAGACCCAACCAAGGGCCTGGGTGATGCTCTCCCTTTGCCTTGCCATTGCTTATACCTGTTAAGTTGTTCTTGAAGCAAATCTAATCTTTGCTCCACTTCCCCGTAAGTGAGGTCACTTTCAGTTTCAGAGATCCCCCAGGCAGCTCGCTGGAGTGCTGAGGGACTAGACTCATCAGCCTGAGTCTGTGCATTTTCTTGTTCCCAGCTTCTTGTGTCAGCGATATCTGTGGGAAATAGCAAGATGGACGTCAACTTCTTTGGGTGCCCCTTTGCATCAATATATGGAGACATCTACAAGATAAGCAGGAAAGGATCTCAGAGTGTAACCCCACAGACAGAGAGCCAGGGTGATTCAAGAACCTGTCCAGGGGCCTCCACCAATGGGTAGCTGAGCCCTACCTTCCTCACCCTGCCTGCCACTTCCACTGTCCATTTCCACATGAAAAAGACATAGAGATGGTCATGAGTTTCGAATACAATTTTGTGTCTGATTAGAGAGCAGTGATTTTGCGTTTTCGTATTTGGGAAGAAACAGCATATTTTGCTCCTATAGGCATACCTCATGTTATTGCTCCTGGCTTTGTTGCATCTCACAGATAGCAGTTTTTATACGACCAGTGTTCTGACCCCTGAGCTAGGGAGCCTTCTGATACCGGTTTTTACAGATCAAAAGTTTGTGGCAGTCCCGTGATGAGCAAGTCTATGGGCATCATGTTTCCAACAGCATTTGCTCACTTCATGTCTCTGTGTCACATTTTGGTAATTCTTGCAATATTTCAAACTTCTTCATTATTATATTTGTTACTGTGATCTATGATGAGTGATTACAACTCCCTGAAAGCTCAGATAATGGTCAGCATGTTTTTAGCAATACAGTATTTTTAAATGAAGGTATTGTACATTGATTTTAAAGACATAATGCTATGGCACATTTAATAGACTACAGTACAATGTGAACAAAGAACAAATTTGACTCATTTTATTGTGATATTAACTTTTTTTGCAGTTGTCTGGAACTGACCCTGCAATACCTCTGAGGCAAGGTTATACAGCTTTGCCTTGGACTGAAGATTTTGGGGGCTGTTCCCCTAGGATAATTAGCATAATTTGTGATTCAGAGTGGGCCCAAGGAGAGAGCCATGGAAAAGTTCTGGGGCTTCTCTTAGGGCCAGCCCAACTCAAAGTAGAGCCATCAAAGACGGCCAGGGTGTTAAAAGTCCTGTAGTCCCATGACACTATTCCGTGTTTTTATCTTTCCTTGTAGCTCCTTCTGCACTATCTTTTAATATATTCGCATTAATTTCCAATAAGCTTTCTTGTGGCTCTTTTATTTAGAATATTTTTATATCTCTATACTTTAAACATTCTGCTTATCTGTTCAAGTCTACTTTTCAAAGGCTCTGAGTGTCTGTTATGTGCCAGACACTCTGCTGAATGTGGAGGAATTAAAGGCAAAAAGACCCAGGCCCTACACCTGAAGAATCTGGTAGTAAGGTTCTGATCATTTTTCATACTGCTGATGAATCTCCTTTTAATTTATGGCTTTTCTTACAATCCGTATTTGCAAGTTATCAATATCAGAGGGCAAATATAGTATCTTATTTTTTCTTCTCATTTTTATCATATACCTCGATGGCTTTTGCTCTGCTTTCTTATCCTCCACATTTTACATATCCACATAAGAGCTTAAAATGATTAAAGGTTTGGAAAATAAAACTCTAGGAAAAATATTAATGGAGTTGGGAGTTTATTTCAGAGATAAAGAAGTGATATCTTCTCACTGGGAGGGCTGGTAGGAGGAAAAGAGTATCTAAAACTGGTCTTCATTTTTCACATGGAAATAGATTTGAATTGCAGAAAGTGATTTGGGTTTGATAGAAAACTTTTTTTACTTTTTTCTTTTCTTTTCTTTTTTTTTTGGATGCTAGCTATGATTAAACACTGACAAAAGTTATGTAAAGTTAAGGAATTTATATCCTCAGCTATTTAAAAAAATTGGGTAGAAAGTAACCGATTTGGGAAGATTAGGTATGATTCTAGAAATAGGGAGCAGCATTTGCAGGCTTTTTGCAGTCCCTTCCCTTCCTGCAGTTTCTCCAAAAGTACAGTCAGATAGCTCAAAAGCATCCCCTTTCTTCAAGGAGCAGAGAAAGTCTCTGTATTCGTTCTTCTATCATTATCTCTTTACCATTGAATACACAAAAATTTCTCTAATGAGGTGCCTATGATTGCTGCCTCAACTGGGTGAAGCAGTACCAAAGGAATTAGCATCTCCAAAGACAGCATTAGAAAAATAGAAGGTCAGGGTTCCTTGTTCTGCTGAAATGGCTAACAGATCTCATAGGGCTTGTTATGAATTCCAGAATGGTTCTTTGTGATTAAGGCTTCCTTAGCCTATGGGATCCTGGTGTTTTGTTTTGTCTTTTGATTTAAAGGGACAGAATATAATTTCTTTTGATTTTACCAAGCAAAACAAAATGAAAATGAACATAGAAAAATGATATTGCTGAAGGTTTCAGTAATATATCAGCAGATTTTCACTGAAAAGTATGATTTACTATTCATAGACTTGTAACGCTATTTAAAATGAAAAACAATAATATAATGTCTTAGTACACTAGGTTTTCAATTTTGGAGCAGCAATGCCAAACATTTAGAACACACATACAATGGTTTGGTGATGTCAGTGCTAGTCCGTGTCTAGCCACCTGCTAGCCGGGTACTGTAGGAATCTTTAGAAAAGATAGTAAGAACTGATAAGATGGAAGTTACATATTATGCTCAGAAGTTTTATGCCAAAAAAGGTTACAGAATTTCTGCCTATGCTTAACGCATTAAGCGTTGACAAGTGGTCAACGCTATATGATATCAATTATTTTTTCCAAAAAAAAAAGAAAAGAAAAGAAAAAAGTAAAAAAAGTTTTCTATCAAACCCAAATCACTTTCTGCAATTCAAATCTATTTCCATGTGAAAATGAAGACCAGTTATATATATAATATATATATAATATATATTATATA